ATGTTTTGTTAATATCTTTGTTAATTTATCTTGTCCATTAAATATTACCTCAGATTGTCATGTCAGTGGACTTGCAGTTTACATATTAACAGACATACCTAACCCAAAGACTGTAGGGGCTGTAGCCCCTAATCCATTAAAACAACACTCAGGTGGTGGCAAAGTGAGACCATACCTTAAACTGCAGCAGTGTAGGCTAGTGCTGTAATTAGAACATAGCTGACGTCGCTTCATGAGTGAAGTCATCAGAGCAACCTGAAACTGACTTCATCTTGTCTCACATTAAATTCAAAACACCAATTATCTTAATTAGTGTGTCTAATGCTCTCAGTTCCTGAAATCTTTTTTTGTTCAGCCCAAAAGTACAAACCATTTTCTCTTGTGGGATACATGCATTATTCCTAAAAGAGAGTACCACTGGAAGAATGACATGTAATTTTTAATGTATTTGAAATTAAATGAAAACACGAATACAACTGTTTATCCAATATGCATATCAAATGAGTTTTTGACAAAAAATAGAAACCCTGATAGGAAAGAACACAATCTTGAAAACAAACTTCTGCCGTTTAGAGCTTACATTCCCCGGGCAACGTGGAACAGCAATACGAGTAGGTAACTGTTGTAGGGTCTACTGACTACTGACGCCAAAAAATAGTTACAACAGTATCTTATCAAACCTTCATTTGATAATATCCGCCTGAAATTAATCAATTTTACCATAATCAAATAGAGATTAAATGTGTTCATGAAAGGTAAGCCTATTCATCGTTACATGCAGTACCTGTGAAAAAAACCCATGCCTGAAAAGGAAAGCCAACCTCTAACCTGAAGTACGCCTAACCTACCACTGACATTTGATACTAAAGGGAACTAATCTGTGCACATTCTTCAGAATCTACATGAGTTACATAATGAGGAGTGCATCGCGATATCTCAGTAAGGCCTAACGCAAACAACCAAGTCTCTGTCTCTCTATCCTGACCACACCAATCCATTTTGTTGTCTCTTACATGTAGCTACAAGATGCTCGAGGCTACTCTATTTCTGAGGGATAGTAAACACATATAAATACAAACGCGATATCAAAGTTAAAGGCTTATATTAAAATTGAAGGACTTTTATATGTTTTGTACAATCTTGAAGTATGATAAAGGCATTCGTTATAAAAATGAAACCATAGAATCTTATAATGAATTATTGGTTTACAATGCAAGAAGAAACATTGGGCAGATCGGAAGAATGTGTGGGGTTTTACATTTTTATATATTTTTTGTGACAGCATATATATGATATGTACATTACAAAATATTCGTACTGAATTTTCGTTGACTGAGAGAAAATCGTCTTCATGAGAGGAGTTTGCAGCGTGTAAGGAGATGGTTGTGTTTCACACCAGGTCATTCTCCAGCATCTCCTGCATCTCCTGCTCACTTTGTGTCTCTGATGTGTCACGTGGTGGGAGCTTTGTGTAATGGGAGACAACTCCTACGACCAGACAATCACTAGCCACATTTACCATTGTGCGGAAACGATCCCTGGAACGATCAATGTTTATGACACTAACAACAAATAGAAGCAACAAAATCCTTTCCACATCCATGAAAAATCTCTACGTAAAGGAGACTCGGTTGTACAATATCATGAGTATATATTTGTTTCAGCAGTTTTACAGCTGTATGCTATTGTTTGTGAAGAACTGACAATCAAGTGATTGTCACCATGCGAATACGATGAGAAAGCATTGTGTGAATGAATCACTACGAAACCATGTCAACCTGTCATCTAGACAGACCGATTGGGTTGCTAATTAGACTGATAGCACACGTTCCAATACTATGTGTTTCCAATAAGGCAATCGCTATATGGCTACAATATTGCCGATGCAATGCAAATTGTTTTTTAAATGCATATTTACCAGCCCAGAAACACACAAGCGCGGTATTATTTCAATCATAGAATGTCACTCTTAACTTCGGTCTTCGAAATACCGGTAAAGTGTACATCAGGTATTATAATCTTGAGACTTTAGCTTGTTTTAGGCATAATGTGTGAGGTAGTTGTTGAGAAGATACCTGTTCCGAAGTCAATATAATGATGGCTACATATAATGAACTCGGACAGTTACATGTACCCAGATAATGCAACAACTGAGATGAATCCAAATATCTAGTATTCTCAATACAGGTCAAACTCTATGTGCCAGATCAAGCATTATGGAATATGTAGATTATACAACCTGCCTACGAAGGACAGTAAAACAACTAGGGTAACTAGTAACATCAACCAATCAACGGTGACCAAGAAAGATATTCCTCGTTCCGGGAGACCAATAGCTTTCAGAACAAGCAACAGCATAGCAAAACCACCTCCAGGGACACCAGCAGATCCTACACTGCCGAGAACAGCTGTTAAACTGGAACATATTAAATGTGACACCAAACGTTCTTTTATCGTGAAACTAGATTCAAAGCCAATAATGCATAAAACGCACTGAACACCATGTTACATCCCTTAGATATGATACATCTATCAAAATGAAAAGCAATGAGAAAATAAGATACGTTAGCTGACTTTGAGGCTTATGGTACAACATATGCTCTGCATAGCCTTATCCTACTGCTTTCGAATTCCTGGTTATCAACTTTGTAAAATGCGTGTGAAATGTAGAAACACATAACCTGAATTCAGCTGGATAATCAAAACCCGTTCAAATTATTACACCCTTTATCTGTTAACCATTTTGATAACTGAAAGACTTACTCCTTCCACTGCGGTCATCAAGTACAACAATATATACTCCTCCATCACCAGCATTTATAAATCACCATTACATGTAGAAAGCTATCTCTGTGTGTAAATGCCTGTGTATTTTAATTCATTACTTGGAACTATTAGGTGTAGTAATTTTGGCTTGTATGCCAAAATGGTCGATGCACAAGAACACCATATGAACAGTAACTATGCAGTGACTGTAAGTAACACAGCATGAAGTTTGTTGAAAATTAAATCCATGTATTGTTTCAGTCTAAACTGCGTAAGGAATTAAAGAGGAAATAAGTTAATCAATTTATTAACAAAAGGGATAAAATGCTGAATATGATTTGCATCATTGTTGTGTTTTTGTTAATTAATTTGTCACATTAATTAACTTTTACTTATTATGGGTCACACAAATCTTAGATTTGAACTCACACTTACGTAGGCTATGTATTTTCACCTTTTGAGAGTGGGCTTGGGAGTTACCTGCCCTTTGTTTGCTTTGCTTCCGACGGGAGAGAAGCGCCGAGAAGCGCTTCGATGATTGTGTTATGGCGTAAATGTTTCTAGTGAGTGAGTGAGTTAGAATTTAAAGTCACATCATCAATATTTCAGCCATATCGTGACTAAAACAAGTTTAGAATTCACCATAAATACATGTAAAGTATAAAAGGACAGTAAAACCGACTAGAATATCACAGCATCAAGAAATAAAACTAGCATCTCTCTCTAAAATTGGATTTTAAATTAGGACAATACAGTATAAAAATGGGCTATAGATTGCCAACAACTGAAGGTAGATCACCATACCAGGGACCATGGGGACATACAGTGCTTTTGCTACCTGCATGGCCCTAGTTGGATTTACACCATCCCTTCAGCCGCTGGCAATTGTAGGAAAGTTAAGCCATAATTTAAAATAACGAAAATGCTACGATTAAAAGTTTGGTAGAGCGAAATTGACATTGAAAGTTTTGGGATTTACGTACCCTCTCAGGAGGACAATAATTTTACTGTTCTTTAACCCCCTTTAAGGATACAGCCACTAACAATCGAAGTTGATAATCTAATGTACCAATTATAAAACCTTATCTATTTACAAAACATCTATCAAAATTCATTTAACAAATCTATCTCTTTTAAAAACTCAATGATTAAATGATAATTAACATTATTAAAAAGGTCCTTTACTGTTTTGATATTTAAATATTTACCCCTTATGATGGAGAATTCAACACAGTCAAGCAGGATATGTTTGACAGTGACTCTCTCATCACAAGGGATACAAAACGGAGGATCCTCGCCTTTCAATAGATATACATGAGTATATCTTGTGTTGCCAATACGACATCGTCGCATGATGACCTCTTCAAATCTGGACTGACAACCCAAGTAGGTATAACCAACATAGGGTTTTATTTCATGTAATTTATTAATACCAACTTGGGTGTCCCACTTCTTCTGCATCAGATCACGGATGTACGATCTAATCAGAGTTTTTAAACAGAGTATGAAATAAGAAGTGGTGTCACAGATTTGTTGAGTGCTGCCTTAGCAGCAAGATCAGCCATGGTGTTCCCAGAAATGCCAACATGGCTGGGTAACCAACAAAATACGATGTCGCATTGGCCAGTAGAAAGATCATTATATAATTCAATTATGTCGATCAAAAGTGGATGTTTGCAAGATAAATTTTTAATAGCCTGAAGGCAAGAAAGAGAATCGGAAAAGATTATGTATTGTTTATATTTAGGGTGTTTATTAATATATTTTAAGGCTGTTAATATGGTGTTAGCTTCTGTTGTGAAAATAGAGCTGTTATTTGGTAATCGGGAAGATATTGTTCTAGATCCAATGACAGTGGCACAAGCAACCGCGCCACCATCCTTGGACCCATCAGTAATAAGCATTTACTGAGTCAAAAAAGAAACTTCACAAAATGTAATTTGAAAAATAATGAATAATTTCTCTCTGATGATACATCTATGTATCCGAAATGGGATCCCTATCTTTCGACTCTAGAAAAACGTGAGCAAAACCCAATCAAAACCATCCATTCATCCATTCGCCCTTTTGGTACGTTGGATTGGTATCTACAGACTCAGGACTTACAGAATTAGAGAAGCAAAAAGCGTATTTGGTGCGCAGATTCCACATATAAAAGATACAGGTGTTTATACATTTAAAAAATATCTTTACAGTAATATGAATTTAAACCACAAGCTTGTATTGTCTAGGAACTAGTTCTCTAGGTTTACGTCTGTGAAGAACGTTCTGCCCCTGCAGAGTAAGAATGGAGTATATTTGGATTCAGCAGTAACCAAATGGGACTCATAGTGATTCTAGGGAAGTGAGGGAGAAGGAGGTTGGCACCCTCCAAGATTTCTATCTCCTAATATAGCATTTTAAAGTCTGAACTGTTTCGTTGCTTCATGTTGAAGTCAGCAAGATCGCGTAAGGTTGTATAAAACAACCTTAGCGCTAAGGTGATCGTAAGTCCCATGTACCTGAACATAAACAGTCTTAGCGCTAAGGTTGTTTTGTACAACGGCATCCAGGTCGAACTGGCTGATATTACTTCCACCGCTATCAACAGTATCAGAAAATCTAACTACATGATCCAACTGATCCGAGCGCCGAATTATATTGTTGTGGATCCCGCTGTTGTAGTAAGAGCCCAAACGATCTAACGATCTTATAATTACTCATCTATACGGGTGTTTGCCTCACCAATTATACCCCAGAAACACACCAAGATTACAAACATACCTTATGATTATTACATCTCCAAAAGTCAGACTGATTCCATTGTACTGAGCAATGAACATCGGAGCAATGGCAGCATAGACAGCTGTGCCGTCCATGTTGACTGTGGCACCCACTGGGAGGATGAAACGGGAAATCCGTGTGTCCATCTTCATCCGCTGCTCCACACATTGCATCGTCACCGGCAGCGTGGCAGCACTGGAAACAGATCCAACTAACACGTAAAGTAGGCTGAGCTTGTAATTGCTGATTCCCAATCACAACATTGTGTCAACTGATTAATGATGTTTAATTGAGTAAAACGAAGTTACAATATTTTGGCAACTCGAAGGGCAACTTACGCGAAGTAAACAGCAGTCTTCAATCAAATACAAAATGGCTGACAGGAGTCACAACAGCGAGGTGTTCAAGTATTGCCATTATCAGTAAATATATTTGACAAAGCTGTCGTTGTACTTTTCCTATTTAATGCATGTAAGTTGGTTGGTTGTTTGTTATTTAACGACGCTCACAGCAGTATTCCAGCTATATGGCGGCGGTCTGTAAATAATCGAGTCTGGACCAGGCAATCCAGTACTCAATGGCATGAGCATCGACCTACGCAAATGGGATACGATACCATGTGTCAATCAAGTCAGTGAGCCTCACCACCCGATCCCGTTACATGCCTCTTACGACAAGCATGGGTTGTTGAAGACCAATTCTTACACAGGTCTTCAAGGGTTAATGCGTGTAAAACAGCTTTTACAAAAGCGTAGAACATGAAGTCATAGAATGACAATTTCCATACACATTATGTGCCTGTATTCTGATTTCATACTGAATTTGGTAAATTTCATTTTTAACAAGTATTCTATGAATATTCAAATTAATGTGATATATATGACAAATCTAAAGAAATGTATTCATTTGAAGCTTTGAGTTTATTTGATCATTCACATCGGAGCTTGAATCACTATAAAATGAACCGTAGCAGTGTCAGCATTTCAGGACTGTTAGATTTTTACTGTTATAATAATTAGGGATGAATGTATGTTGGACACTGTTTCCTTCTGCATATTGCTCTAAAAATCTGTTGCCGCCTGATGTAACAGTCCTATTTCACAAAAAACACCTGCACGTATACATTAATTTGTTCTCCACATTTGACGTGGACATTATCAATACAGTGTCAAATGCAAATAGAAGATTAATGTGGGGGAAAGCAGCCATAACTCCACAGGTCGGTTCATCAAGTCTAATAAAGGTTTCAAATCAGTTACTCCAAACACAAAGTCAGTTGGCCAAATTAGTCTCATCTTTGAAAGGTTGCTGCATTGGATCTAATGTAGCGATACTTTTAGGCCTTCCATAAAAACCAAAATATTCAACATCTGTCTTCATTTACACATCTAAAGCATCATTTGATCATTGTTATTAGATGGCATTCGTCATTATAGTTCCGCCATTATCGGTGTTCCATCCTGTAACCTAACAGCAAATATGACGTATGTAACAGAATCGGTATTTGAGTGAGATAAATTGAATTGAACATGTATACCTGGAGCTTGTTGCCAATGCGGTTATTACAACTTGTGTTGCCTTGCGGTATATTGCATATGGGTTCTTTCGGGTCAGAATGAAATACAAGCCGGGAAGGACCACCAATGAATGGATTGCCAATCCAGCCATTTCAGTTGCAATGTAGATAGCCAGTGTTTGTCCAGTCTCCCTCAGGTCAGTTGTGGACATTATCTGGGCAGTGATGAGAAACAGGATGCCAAGTGGCGAATACCTGGACAAATACAACATGCAATTATGATACAAACAGACAGTGGAGACGTATTCCAGTGAAATAAACACTCTCTCTCTCTCTCTCTCTCTCTCTTCTCTCTCTCTCTCTCTACTCTCTCTCTCCTCATTCACACACATCTCTTATGTCTCTGTCGGTTCTCTCTCTCTGTCTCTCTCTCTCTCTCTGCTCTCTTACTGTGTGTTATTTGTACCTACCACATGACAAGTGTAATCATTTTGAAGGTAACGAGGTTGATGACGGTGAAGAATTGTTCCACCACTCCTCCACGATGACCAAGTTGGTTTAGAATAACACCAAACACAATGCAGTAGGTAATGACGCCTGCCGAGAGAAATAGTTGAGCATCATGTCCCATTGATCAAACACAAGGCCAATTCTTCAAACTTTTCGGATAGGCAATTGATATGGATGGAGTAATTTTGTGTGTAAATATTTGGGGGGTTTCGCTAGCACTTAGCGATATGCATTTGAAATGAACTGATCATACGAGAAGGGCGCATAACAACAATTCACTATAACTGATTCAGTTTAACCGATGAATTATATTACAAAAGTAACGATTGGTGACTAGTATGTGCAGCAATAATGATTCTCTCTATTCGCGTTATTTTTAATGCCTTCTGTTTTCTTTTATTTTGGTTATTTTGTTTGTTTCTGTTTTGTTTGTTGTTTTTTGTTTGATTGTTGTTGTTTTTAGTTTCTATTTTCGGTCTCTAATTTAGTTTATTTCCTTGTCTTGTCTGTTTGTTTGTTTGTGTGATTTTTGGGAATGATAGTAGCTGTTATTGTTTGTATATGTATCATTTTTCATTATGGCATGTCGTAGCATTGGTTGCAATTCGACATTTTTTCAAAGATGAAGAAAAAAACAGTTTAAACAAAGGAGGTTTTGTCATGGTCTGTTAATCTTGTGCTTAGATCATGTGTGACCACCATAGGGACTAATTCCATAAAAATCGAAATGAGGGTTATTAAAGTATTTTGAGACCTCGTATTTTACTAAACTGCTTTGATGCGCTTCCTAAACTCGACATTATCGGTTATAAAGTCAAAATCTCTGCAGAGTATTTCCAGATTTCTTGATTCGTCTTAACCCTTTAGTCACTTACAGTATTGTTTTATCGACGTATAAATAAGATCATAATCAAAAAAATATTTTCGGATAAGTACCTCATCATCATTAGAAATTATATATATCACGTTTAAACCTGACCAGTTAATTGAAGAATTCCATTCAAATGCAGAAGGATCATCAAGCTCTTGTAGCTTTGAATGTTTTCTATTCAAATTGACCAAGCAACATTGCCTGAACTTCTTAAAGTTTGTGTGATCGGCCACCAACTGAGGAAGGAGATGGCATGAAACTCCTTCCGATTAACGTTTCAGTACATTATGTAACCGTAATTGCCTTGAACATGAAAACTATTATGTATTTCCATGTCAACGACATTAGGAACTCGTCCAACCTAACTATTTAGAAACGTCAGCAACAAGATGTAAGAATACCTATGACATTTGCACCATCCACCATAACAGTTTTCTTTGCTGTAACATGCTGGCTTATGTTCTTGGATTTCCTATAATCACCACCAGAACTGGAATTGACATCGTCCCGGAACTCATCAACTACCATCTCAGTTCTTGAGTGTTGGACTGTAGCAGCAACGATGTTGTCAGGAACGATGTTTCTGAAGAACAAAATGAAAGGTCATGTCTGGATTATTTTTTACATAGCAGTTTGCTTTCTGCTGTATCCAGCGGAGAACTCACGGCATGAAATTGTGCCGATACAAACTGTTATATACTGAGTCAAAAAAGAAATTTCACAAAATGTAATTTGAAAAATAATGAATAATTTTTCTCTGATGATACATCTATTTATCCGAAATGGGATCCCTATCTTTCGACTCGAGAAAAACGTGAGCAAAACCCACTCAAAACCATCCATTCGTCGTGCAAATGACGTTAGGTGCCAAATCAGGTTTTGCACGTGCAGTCTATCACGTGATCTTCGCATCGAAGTTTTCTTCATATGCACGTGTTTGCATTGGCCTGAAGAATGAAGAATAAAAAACACTTTTAAACCACAGTTCTAACGGTACTTGAAATGCCACGATTGTCAAATGTGCAACGTGAACGTGCCGTTGGCATGTTGCAAGCGGGAATATCAGTTATTGACGTCGCAAGAGGAATGGGATGCAGCCTTCGTACTGTGTATGACTTGCGAGGTCGTCTACAACAAATCTGGCACCACTTCTGATCGCCCAAGGTCGGGTCGTCCACGTGTGACGTCACGAGCAGAAGACCGTCAAATCGTCCTACGTCACCTACGTGACAGATTTCTGCCGGCTACACGAACCAGGGCTGAGATGTTTAGAGGTCGACTGTCCTCACAGACCATTCGAAATCGGTTGCGGGCTGCCAATCTCCATTCTCGATGTCCATATCGTGGGGCAATATTGACGCCGTTTCATCAACGTCAACGTCTGCTGTGGGCCCAACGTCACCTCCGATGGACCCAGAGAGACTGGAATCGAGTCGTCTTTAGCGATGAATCCAGGTTTACCCTCAGATTCGCGGACGGCAGGCATAGAGTCTGGAGACGACGTCGTGAACGATATGCCCAATGTTTTGTACAGGAAGTTGACAGATTCGGGGGGCGGAAGTTGCATGGTGTGGGGTGCTTTCTGTGGGAACAACCGTTCCCGACTTCTGATCATCCGTGGAAACCTCACAGCTGCTGCTTACCGCGACCAGGTGCTCACCCCTGAACTCGTTCCTTTCATGGCGGCTCATGGCCCAGGTCTACAGTTCCAGCATGATAATGCTCGGCCGCATACCGCGATGTTGACACGAAATTTCCTTCAAAACGCGGAAATCAACGTCATGGACTGGCCATCGAGGTCCCCTGACCTTAATCCAATAGAGCACGTTTGGGATGCACTTGGGAGAAGGCTTTGTGGTCTTAGGAACCAACCTCAGAATTTGCAGGAACTTGGCGCTGCCTTGCAAGAGCAATGGCGCAGAATCCCCAACCACGTGTTCACAAGCATCAGGCAGTCGATGAGGAGACGGTGTTTGGCAGTGGTGAATGCGCGGGGCGGCCATACACGATATTGAACTGAGAAATTTCGCATTTTTATTCTTGTGACTTGACATTCTGTATACCCATGTTTTGGAACGGCGGTGTAGCCTAATGGAACTGATTATGGCACTGTCAGTGTATCGAGTACACAACACAGATCTCAGCAATGAAATAATAACAATTTCGCCATCTTACCATCTCCTGTTCTTTTATAGTGCCCTGAAGAAAGAATGTGAAGTTTCTTTTTTGACTCAGTATATATAGCGACATTAAGCACAATCATAGTACCTGGTATTATAAGCAACACTAAATATACTCAGCAGTAAAAAAAACGTCAGTACGAATTCAAAATGAGACAGGCACTGTAATCAAATCATTACAGATATTGACATATTAAGCGGATCAAAAACAGATTTTGTGTACAATATTTTGACACATCAATGAAGAACTCAAGAATTTCAAGACGTTACGTGAACGTTTGCAGTCCATTCAGACCCTTGACTTCAGTATCTAGTGTGACCACCACGAGCGGCAATGACTGCAGCACAGCGTCAATGCATGGAGTGAATCAATCGATTGATGAAGGCCACTGGCACCTGGAACCACACTCTGAGAAAGGCCTGGCGCAATAAATCGGCTGTGTTCGGCCTTGGTATGTCATTATTCAGTCTCCTCTGAGTTTATCCCAAAGATGTTCAATTGGGTTTAAATCAGGACTAAGGGCTGGTCACTGCATAATGTTGACACCGTTCTGCTGTAGGAAGTCCCATGTAGTTCTGGCAGTATGGGCCCGGGCGTTATCATGCTGGAAAATGTTGTTCCGGTGACGTGCGAAATGTGGTATGACGTGGGGTCTGAGAGCTTGGTCGATGTAGCGCACCGCTGTGATGCCGTGTCCTCTCCTTGGACCAAGGTTCTGGAACACCACAGGACCCACTCTCTGGTTCAGGCCTATTCCACCCAATACCATGATGCTTGCACCTCCCCATGAGTCTCTTTCCATAACACATTGGTCTGAGTAACGCTGGCCACGTCGTCGCCATATTCTTGTTCTCCCATCTGCAGTTGATACGCAGTACCGACTCTCATCTGTGAACAGAACAGTGCTCCATTGCCTGTATCGCCAGTTTTGGTGTTGTAGGGCAAACCGTAGACATTCACACCGATGACGCGGGGTGAGGATAGGTCCACGGTAAGGTCTACGGCAATGGAGGTTCCCGCTGTTAAGACGTCGGCGTACTGTATCAGTACTGATTGGTCTTCCGTGTATTCCCACTGTCTGGCGTGCTGTTTCGGATGCCTGCATATAGGGATTCTGTACATGCTGTCGCACAACATGGCGGTCTTGTCGTCTTGTGGTCACCCTTGGTCTGCCAGTACGGGGGCGATCATTTGTGGTGTTGGTGGCCCGGAAACGTTGCTGCAGCCTGTAGATGGTCCAAACGTTGACCTGGAAGTGATTGGCAACGGCATGTGCAGTTCGGCCAGCTTCAAGTCTTCCTAGCGCCTGGTTCCTCTGAGCTGTCCTGAGTCGCGGCATCCTGCTGACGTTGTAATGTGAATGTTTCAACAAGGGTTTGGGGTGCATTTTATACGGCTGGTCCTTGTGTGCAACATGAGTTGCATGAAAAACATGGAGAACACCGTACCATCTCCGAGATCTTGTTGCGTTTTTGAGACCATTTCCTTGGTTCCATTCTGAGTTTGGGAAAGGAATGTCTTTGCTCAGGTAAAGTTGGGGATGTCAAAAAAATACAATCAAAACATTAAATGAGTTTACAGTTATCCGTTTCTGCAAAGGAAGATTCCAAACTGACGTTTCTTTTGCTGCTAAGTATAGATGCAATTTACTTAATATGCTGTTCCTACAAAGCTATTATCTAAGTGAAGGACGAAATACAAACACAATTTGAATCACTTGTCTCCAGTATGTATTTAAATGTGAAAAAGCTAACACATTTTATATACTGAGACAGATGTTATGGACATGTATTCTGATATAATGGTAATATGTAATAACACACATATTTCCCCTTTTTAAATTTATTACATGATGAGAAAATTAATCTGCCTTTACAGATGCCCTACATTAACGCATCTTGGGGAGACGCATACAATTTGGCCTTCAGGAAATTTTTCTTGGCTGAGACAGCTGATGGTACTGCATAGTCTGACATGGCTGATGCATATCATCACACGCGACGTGCATAAACAGATGCTCATGATGTCAGTCACTAGATTGTCTGGTCCAGACTAAATTATTTACAGACCGACGCTATATACCAGGAATATAGTTGAGTGCTGCATTAAACAACAAAACAACCCTACCTTACTAAATCCAAAATGATATCGATTGCTGGCGCCATGGCACCATTGTGTTGAATGTCGGTTGTTGATGAGTCTGAGTATGATCCAGGTTTGATGCTCAGGACTAATGCCAAACCAACGAGCGTTGCAGTAACAGAGGTACTTGCATAGTAAACCATAGAAAGTACACCCATCCGTCCGGCAGATGAACCCTTTATATTCCCCAGACCTTCAAGAAACATATATATGGTTATTGAAATTAAATAGTAGTCTATCAAGATTCTTCATAATATTGGCATACGTTACAAGATTTTAGGTTACATTTATCAACTTTTGCTTTTTTAAGCATAAAATAAATGGCATACTTTTCAACATGGGTTGTCCATTTATCCAGTTGATAAATCAATGTAGTATGTTGGAAAGGCGGGTTTAATCCGATTTATATTTTACAGATACAGATCATTAAGGCAAACAATATTGGTAGGTCACTTAGCTGTGTTGGTATCTACTCCTACTAAACAATAACAAGGAAAATATTAAATAGATGTATTAAAAGATTGCAATATAATGAACAATACAAATGTGAAAATTGGCATGTCATTATTTGCAATATAATAGGGATAAGTAGACAATGTCGACAAGTGTTCCTGGTGGATACTACAACGTCAACCAACGAATATGCGCAGGTGGTAAACTTACCTGTAATAATACTGGCGACTATCAGAGGCAGCATCAGCATCTTCAGCATACGAAGGAAAAGCTCTCCAGGGAACTGCACCAACTGAATAGCGTCAGATGACGGCTTGAGAGACCGGAACATAATCCCAGCAACAAATCCCAGTACAACGGCGAGAATTGTAGAAATGAGAAGGATGTTGCGTCGGAGAAACTGAAGAAACTTCATCTGCCATTAGACATGTCATTATCTCTGTATGAATGCTGATAAATGCACATATACATGTGGATAATAAATGTACATTATGTTTATTTCAGTATTTAATACTGTCAAATAAATAATAATGAGTCCATTTGTAATGCGCTAAACTCCACGCCAGAAGGTATTCTCATAGCGCTACAAATTTGACCAGTCCACTAGTAATACTATGTCCCTACTTCAAAATATAACGTCGTCAACATCGTCATAACCAGCGTATTTAAACGTTATGTAAGGATAAAAGTTAAAAATGTACGATTTTATGGATATAAAATTGTTATACCGCAAACCGCATATGTATCTATATACTTCTACGTAGCAGTCGTAATAAAAAGGTTACTTAACTGGGTTTTCCGAAATTTTCCTCATGGTCTGGTTTGTTTACAGTCCGAAGTCCCATGGTAGGTGTTCGTCACACGTCAGCTGGTCTAACATGCAGCTTGTCCCTTGTCATTCATGACACACATTGTTTTGTCATCACTATATGCTGAAATATTTTATGTGGCGTTAATAATGCCATTTAAAAGTTATTACAACCAGGTATCGAGAAGAATGTATGCATAGGATCTAGTGACGAGCAGTAAAATTCACACCAGGTATGGTGAATGATGGTGTGCATGGTGAAACTGAATTTCTGTTCGACATATTACATAGATTTCTCGATATATCCCTAGATTTGCTAAGGTACAACCAACCCATCCTTCATGTTTTGATAGCAATGTTAATCTGTCACCCTGGCCGAAAGATCCCTTGATCAGCCATTAAACACGTCTGGGATGAAATGGCCGGGATACTCGGCAGAAGAGGTACAAACAGTTGTATACAGTTTAGTGTACATAGGATGGCGGGATGGTTTACATGGAAAATTGTAAAGATGTCATGATGCTATTAAAAAATATCCACATTTTATAAACACTTATTCGTTTACAGTTACACAATTCGTTAAATTTTAACATATTAGTATATTTTGTATATATTTAATGTGTAAACATAAACACTATATATACACACACATATACACACGTACGTGTGTGTGTGTGTGTGTGTGCGTGTGTGTGTGGTGTTCGTTTGTACCTTTTATTTCGATGCTGTTTGAAGGAAGGGCAAAGAAAAATGTAATGAAATTCATTGCCAACATCACACGTATCGCAGAGGTTACACATTCTTTCTCCGGGAAGAATGTTGTGCCACCTACCTACTTCTATAGGTAAACGATGGCAGCAAGTTCTAAGAGGAATTTAAGAGTCAAGGTGAAAGGGATACATCTCAAATATTTTTTAAAGACAAAGTTCAGTTTTGATAATTGGTCCCTTTAGAGTTGCTATATCATGTAACCTTAAGTACATAATAGATTTAATTTCATTGGGAAAGACAGCTTGTTGAATAAGCCAGTAAAAGCTATAGCCTGTTTCATTAAAGACGGCTTCCACAGATGTTATTAACACAGGTGGGTATTATCAGCAATCCCTTTGTTACTACAATCACTGTTTTGATATTATACTGCCTTTGAATTTGTGATATCACTCTATATTGTATTGTAATTGCAGTTCCTATGTTTTGATTTGTAAACATCGTTCATTGTTGAATGCACTTGTTAATTATATCACATTTCTTTGTTGTTCGATGGTTTCACACGAGGTCCTTCTATGCATCATAACTTTTCTGAAGTTTGTATTTCCGAGAAGCGTGCATACAGATTTGTCTAGGATTAAGAAAAACTAATTATAATCATTGTCAAGACACCATTTCTGATTTTGTAGACATATTGCAGCTGATGGTATACTTAATTTTACTCTTAATTTCACAACGACAGGATATTTTGAAGTCTTTTATAAAACGTGGCCCATGAATTGAATCGTTTAAAATATTTTTGGCACTATCTATTTTAATACTGTATAATGTGACAGACAAAATACTGCCTTGTAGAGGACCCTGTTTATAACTGAAATGATTAACCAAACCAAACTTTGCACTCACCTTGTATTACACCCTGTATTGTGCCACTGATTGTTCAGTCCAAAATGTGTCGGATTTGACGTCGGAATTTGCTGCGAGAAAACGCTCCACCAACAAGATTGCTTGACAGTCCTACTCACACTGAAGTGCGCGAGTGTTGTGTCGTCCTGGTTGGCCTGCTGGTGATAGATCAGCTTTCAACTTACAGACTGGAACGGGACATGTATCTGCTATAGGACAGTATGAAACATGTACTCAAAACATCTAACTACTGCTTAATCACTTTAACTATTTGTTGTCTAGTGTTCTGTTATTTGTATAAAATGAAGAAAGAATGCTGAGAGTGTTTTGATGAAATTGGATACTGTAAACCGGAAATATTTTGCGTCAGTGTATATTTTGCGAATTTTGCGTTTCTCTTCCCCACGCAAAAATTCTCGGCGTAGTAATATTGAGAAGGTAAATTTATATCAAGAATATTTTAGACATCTTATTCATGAAAATACACTGACAAATTCTACACACAATAATAACAAAATAGATGTATATTACGTGCGTACAACTTCCGCTTACCTCGTTCGTGAGGGTACGTTTTACGCTCCAACAGCGATGGCAAATTTCACATCATATTATCAACAATCACGAACTGATTACCGTCTCGTTTTCCATGGACTGCTAGTTGACAGTAGCATCGGTAAAAATGTGTGTGAATTTAAATGGCATGCTTATTTCACCTCATTCCATGCGCGTACAACTTCCGCTTACCATGTTCATGAGGGTACGAATAACCTTAGTGTTGATTATATGTATTTTACATTTATAAAGCAAAAGCTGTAATTAAAAGTACACAATGCTAGGGTATATTTCTTTGGGTTAAGTATTCAGGAACAGTGGTGAAAGTTTATAATGTCTGTTATGTCCATCCATCATTCCTGCAACCGGTCGTAAGGGGAAATTGGTCGCTGTGTAATTTTGTAACCCAATCAGTGAGTGAGTGAGTGAGTTTTCACGCCGCACTCAGCAATATTCCAGCTATATGGCGGCGGAGTGGTTCAATGAAGAGCGGCAAGGGTAGGAAACACATTTGGAACAGTATGATCCATATCATGTATCAAAGGTTTTGACATTGTGGTCATATATGTTGTATAAGATACTCATAGGTAGTATTATACTTTCGAAATTTTATCGAAGTTTTATATAACATAAAAGTACAGAAGACATAACAATAGAGAAGTAATCTTGGATAATGGCAAATACAAATTATTTTGTTGTTGTGGTGGTAGTGGTGCTGGTGGTTGTGGCGCTGGTGGTGAGGGGCAGAATAGATATTTACATTTACAATCAAACGTGGTTACTTAAACGTCAGTTTCTTTACCCGTGAAGATCCAGGTTATGAGTGTTCTCTAGTAACCCATTCTTATCGTAAGAGGCGACAAACGGGATCGGGTGGTAAGGCCCGGTGACTTGGTTGTAAGGATGACTATTGAGGTAAAGTGACTATTGCGATAGCGATAGGCTATTGCTGCATACTATTGCGATAGCGATAGACTATTGCTGCATACTATTGCAATTACTATTTTTTCCCCTAACAAGTTCGTCATATTTCAGATTTCACATGTACTTTGAAATAAAAACAAAAGCACTTTCTTAGTTAGTTTCTTAGTATCGGAACACACTAAAATTTGATAGTCATATATAAACTTAAACATGGTGAGGTCATTTATACTCTAAGGTAACTGCAACTTTTTGAATGCTTAATGGGCACTTTAAACCCCATGTTGGAACATGCACCGAAGCAACTGATTCAATATTCGTTGAGTTTGAGTGAAATGAAACATTGTCAAACACAGCGAAAAACAAGGGTGCTGAAAACACCAGCACCATGTTTGATTCAGACGCCCAAACATCATAGCCTTGTGCATGTGGAAGACAGAATTCCCATGCAGCTTGTGGCAGGTGGTATTATATGCTTTCTCGAGATTAAAGAATATTGATACTGCATGTTGTTTATTCGTTTATTGCATTTTTAACAAAGGATTCCAAACGTACCAAATGATCAATAGTACTACAATTTTTTCCTGTAACCACATTGAATATTTGTTATAAGGTTATTGGTTTCAAGATACCATGTTAATCTATTGTTAACCATTCGTTCCATGGTTTTACAGACACAACTCGTTAAAGAGATTGGTCTGTAATTAGACGGATCTGTATGATCCCCGCCCGGCTTTGGAATAGGAACAACAATGGCATTACGCCACGAAGTTGGGAAATTCCCTGTAGTCCATATCATATCAAATATATTTAGCAGCGTTTCCAAACATGACTCGGGCAAATGCTTTAGGAGCAGATAGTGGATATCATCAGCCCCTGTTGCTGTATCATGAGCTTGCTCAAGGGCAGTATGGAGCTCATGTGGCGAAAATAATTCGTTATAGTCTTCACCACTGTCTGAGTTAAAATTTAATCTTTGCTTCTCCTGTTGTTTCTGAAACTTTTGAAACTCAGGGACATAATTTGATGAAGATGAATGCTTGGCGAGAGTTTCACCATGTTTGTTAGCAATGTCAGTTTTATTAGTAAATAAATTATCACCATCCTTCAGATGGTGAACAGTAGATTTAGAACCTTTGCCCTTTATTCTTTGAATCATGTTCCACACCTTTGACATAGGCGTGCGTGAATTTATTTTAGATACATAATTTCGCCAAGACTGACGCTTATTTTGTTTAAAAGCACGTCTAGCCTTGGCATTTAAAATTTTAACTTTGTCTAGATTATGGACAGTAGGATGTTGGCTAAAATACTTTTCGCCTGTTTACATTCATTATTGAACCATGGCTTACGAATGCATGGAATTGCAGAGGACTTGGGTATAGTTTGGTCAGCCATGTTGTTCAGTAGATCTGAAAATAACTGTATATGATCTTCGCTGTTCGCAAAAATGTCATGTTTTAAGTGATCGGTACATAGTGTCTTATATAATGACCAGTCAGCCCTGGCGAAGTTCCGTG